AACAAAGATACAAATCCATAATATTCAATCTCTACATAATGGAGAACAGAAGCCTCAATCACCTCAAACACCACCAAGCCCCTGGCCACTGATCATCAATGGACTACAAAACAACACCCCCGAGATTCCTGCTCACCACCCATCCCTGCCAGTATTAAAGAGCCACCCCACCTAAAACCAACATTCCTTCTTGTCCCCCACATACTATTTGGCACACACCTGCTGCCAGATGTGGAGCTGCAGGAGGGACGCCAGCAGGAGCTGCAGGAGGGACACCGCCAGGAGCTGCAGGAGGGACGCCACCAGGAGACATCCTCCTGTAATGTTGGCGGCGGGAACACATTTATCACTGGTTGTTAGGACCAACCTGCGGTCCTAGCAACCAATGACTGCGGAGGAGGAGGACCCCTGACATCACTGGTTGTTAGGAGCAAACCTGCGGTCCTAGCAACCAATGACTGCGGAGGAGGAGGACCCCTGACATCACTGGTTGTTAGGAGCAAACCTGCGGTCCTAGCAACCAATGACTGCGGAGGAGGAGCACCCCTGACGTCACTGGTTGTTAGGAGCAAACCTGCGGTCCTAGCAACCAATGACTGCGGAGGAGGAGGACCCCTGACGTCACTGGTTGTTAGGAGCAAACCTGCGGTCCTAGCAACCAATGACTGCGGAGGAGGAGGACCCCTGACATCACTGGTTGTTAGGAGCAAACCTGCGGTCCTAGCAACCAATGACTGCGGAGGAGGAGCACCCCTGACGTCACTGGTTGTTAGGAGCAAACCTGCGGTGCTAGCAACCAATGACTGCGGAGGAGGAGGGCCCCTGACGTCACTGGTTGTTAGGACCAACCTGCGGTCTTAGCAACCAATGACTGCGGAGGAGGACCCCTGACATCACTGGTTGTTAGGACCAACCTGCGGTCTTAGCAACCAGCGACTGAAGAGGAACGCGGTCTGGACACGGACTGATTGCTATGTCTTATAGCCGATGCACTGGCCTTGGTGTCCACGCCATCGATGAGCGCAGGTTGGGGATCATTCCGTGTCCGGACTGTGGGCGGGACAGGCGCAGACAAGGGGGCCGAGGGGGGGGAGATTACTGCCAGATTATTTTTGGGAGCCCAGTGGCACTATTTCTGGATCTCTTCTTCAACACTTTGGCCTTTTGGAAGTTCCCACAGGGGCCCAGCAGGCCCCACCCACTACAGGAAGGGGCGGAGACAAGACCAGTCACCCTACAGATGGAGAGAGGGCAGCAGTGACCGGCCTTTATTACAAGAGGGGGCGGAGACAAGACCAGTCACCCTGCACAAGGAAAGAGAGCGGCAGTGAGCGGTCTTTATTACAGGAGGGGGCGGAGACACTGACCTCTGTAGCTGTAGCCATCCAACCGAAGTTCACAGTAGAAACACTGAAGTAATTCAAGCCAGGTCTCAGCACTCTGCTCTCCCCTCCTCCTGCGCACCTCAGAAGGCTGTCAGGCTGCCAAGCCACGGCTGGGAGGGGGGAGCTGAGCTGCTGAGTGTGAATGTGCTTCTACCGTAAACGTTGAGGATGAATTGCTCCACAGTGCCTACAGCTACGGAGGTCAGTGAGGACTTGTTTTAAAGCTCATTTACTGCCTGTTAGAACAAATAAATATGTAAATGGTAAAGCTGACCTCCCGCCTTCCTTTTAGCCTTGCACATAATGCCCATCAAGGCATTATATTTGCATAACTCCTCCCACGAGCCAGCCCACTGCTTGCATCAGGGCTCTTTAAAGCAGAACTGAGGCAGGGTGCTGTGATGTTTTCAGGAAGCTATGTACAGCACCACTCCTCCCAGACATGATTTACCTGCATTACATAGAAAAGCACAGAGACCCAGTGATGACATCACTAAAAGAAGGTATGTAATGAGATGATCACGTTGATGGGGAAGGGAGGGGGTCAGGGAACGGCCAAACATGAGCAGATCAGACTTCGGCTGTGACGGGAGAAGAAGAGACGGCCGGGAGGGGTGGCAGAGGAATGCATTGTTCTTCAGGGAGAGGTGTCGGCAGACGGTGATCCGAAGAATAAGAGTGCGAGTGACTACCCTTACTCATCTATACTTTGCGGAGGCATGCGTTGTCACTGCCGCACCCGCCCCGGCTGCGTTGGGCTCAGTGCGATGGGACATGAGGATTAAGTTGCCATAATCCGCGGACTGTCAGTGAAGAGCGGCTGTGCGTGCGGCAGATGATATGCATGCGTCCCCCGCGCTGTCCCGCTCTGATCCCCGTCCTCCTTCCATCCTTCACCTTCTTTATTCTTCTTTTTTTTTAAATGCGAAAAGTTTCCTTGATTGGACAACGAAGGGGCAGAGGCTCTACTGATGACGGTGTGTGGCTGACCTGAGCAGAGTTAGTGCGCTGATCCTCCTCCGTTGTCCAATCAGCAGGCTGGGGCGGGGCGGGGGCGTGTTCTTGCGCAAGCTGTCCAGTGCCATAGCGACCTAGGCGGCCCA